CACACGCACGACACACACTCACAGCAGAGTTCACAGGCTGCACCACCCTGAAGCAAAGGAGCGTGCCAACCACAGAGCGACCTTAGACATTGTCCCAGGCCTGAGACATGGAACAGAGACACAAGCAGTACCTGGAGAAATCCGTCCTCTATTTGCGCGCATGGATCTTTCCTCGCCACTTGGTGTTTTGAACTCTCTTCTTTGCGGGTCTTAATGAGATACTCAAAGGTGGTCATCTTCTTGGCCTCTGGAAAGAGGAAAGGAGGAACAGGACAAGTTACCAGCCCTGCAGCTTTGCGCAGCACCCACAGGACAGTTCAGAAAGGCAGCCAGCGCCACTGACCCAGCCCCTGCGCAGGGAGCGGTGCTCCGCCCACCACGCAGGCCCTGTGAGGCCAGGATGGGTGCAGGCGCCTCGTGTGTCCGGCTCCACAGCTAGCTGATGGTCAGCAAGAAAGCTCTGCAGCTGTGACCTGGGGACCGGCACCGGCCCACGCCCCCCTGCCCACCAAGGCCTCACTGAGCTGCATTGTCAGTGGTGTCAGAAGAGAAGCTGCCTCTCACAGACCTGGGTGCCCCATACCATGCAGCCTGAGAGGTTGTTCCAGATCCCCTGGGAACACTGGCGGGGGTCAGAGGCCAGCTCAGGAGGGGCCGCTCTGAGGGTCTGGGTGGCCTGCGGGATTCCTCACATCTGGACACGGGGTGGGGCACACCTTGGGGGATGCACAGAGACCCCGAAGTCAGAGGACCACACAGTGCGGCAGCCACCCCGAGGTGCTGGCTAGTGGGTCCTGGGACCACACACTCCTGCTGGCGCTCAGAGCCCCAGGCCCAGGAGGTGAACACGAGTGCCGTCAGTGCCACTCAGCACAGCCTCTGATGGGGCCGAGACAGGTCACATCCCTGCAGCCCTGCACAGAGCCCACCTCAGCAGGCCGGCCAGAGCCCCGTCCACCCGGCCTGCACTGCAGGCAGCAAAGCAGCGCATCGAAGCAAAGGAAAACCTGAGACACCCGTTTATCTAAAAGACTCGTCTTAACAAACGTTAATAAAATGGGCTCTGCACCTATTTAAGCCACGAGTTCCGGGGAGGTGCCACAATCTCCATGCTTCTTTCCCTAAGCACCAACACCGTGAGAGCTGATGTCTCGTGACTATTTCTGGAGACTGGGGCAGCCGCCCACAGAGGCCTATTTGCAGTGAGGAGCAGATGGCGGTGGGTGCCCTGTGGAGTTGCCTGCAGCCAGCCCAGCCCCGTCGCCTGCAGTGTTTTGGGTGTTCGGCCCTGGCCGGGCCTTGAGCTGCTTCACATGGCTCGGGCTAGTCCTCCACGTCCCCCAGAACCTGTCGTGGTTTGAGCACACGAACTTGTGCTTGTTTATATTCAAGTTAAAATATATGTTCTTTTGCCCAGGTTTGCACAAATACCATCAAAACCAGATTTTCAGCGTGCCCTGTGGCTCCCAGAGGCCCACTTGGTGCGAGTGAGCTCTGTGGGAAATAGTTAACCTGAGCGTCATGGTGAGGTTGAGGGCAGGGAAGCCGCGAAACCTCCCAGGCGGGCCCAGGGTCTCCAGCATGGCTGGGGCTCGCTGGCCGGCCGGGTAATGTGGGGAAGGCTGTGCTTCCCTGACCTCATCAAGCAGGTTTTCTCTACAATCTACCGTGAATGTGGCTCCCATCCATCTCTGGAAGGCAGCCCCACATCACTCACCTGCTCAGGGAATTGTGCCCTCACCACGAGCACTGAGGACTCTCCAAGGTCCGTCCTTCAGCTTCAAAATGAAGTCTGAGTGGCCAGCTGCTTCTGACACAGCTTCCCATGGCCCCCTACCCGACACCTGCCCCCAGACGAACAGAACACACATGCAGGCCAGGCTGCACCTCCAGGAGCCTGCACAGGAGACTGGCGACTTTGGCCTGAGGACCACCCTCCACAGCTGCCTCAGCCTCACGGAGTGGGAGACAGATGGCCTCTCAGGCCTCTGGATGAGAGCACAGCCCAGAGCCCCCGTGGACACCTCTCCAGGGACCCTGGCAGAGACACAGCTCAGAGGTGCTGGCCTCCTGACCACAGAGGCTGAGGTGATGACGTACTGCACTGAGCAGCTACGTTATGGGGCAGTTTTACCACAACTAACAATAACCAATCTACCCACTTTGTCCTGGAAATCTATTCTTTGATGTCTAAATACCCTAAAATCAACACATTCAGCCCTGGCTCCGTCAAGGTCTGAGAGACCCGTGGCCCGTGTTCCGTGCATGGAAGCACTCATCACTCCAGTTGCCTGGGTTGGGACCCAGGGGCCTGCAGAGGCCCCGTCCTCACGTTGACCTCAGTGGGCCTTTAAGTGCTGCTAGTTTGGAGTCCCAGACAGCTCCCCAGGCCACCTTTCCTTGTGTTTGCAAGCTCACCATGATGTATGGATGACCCTGGAGGCTGCCTGCCAGCTCTGTGTCCCTGGCTTCCCTCTGGGATGTCAGGCACAAGGTGGCCCGTGTTTCTCACTGCCTGCCCTGCCCACATTCAGATCCTCGGGAAACGCCTCGGTGACCAGGACCCCTGACATGGTTTCTGTGGCTTCTCTGGCTCAGCTGGGATGTCTCCACACTAGACAAACTCACACGACCACAGCAGGCCACCCCGCACCACCTCCTCCTGGAGGCCACAGGCAGCCACAGGATGGGTGGGTGGGGACTGAGCCGCATTTTAGCAGGAGTCCAGGGTCTTCCTTGGAGCCTCAGCAGCTGTTCGGGAAAGGGAACTCTAGCCCATGCCCAGAGCCAGTCTCCCAGGTCCAGGGGCAGCTGACCAGCCAGGGGCAGGTGCCTAAGGTTGCCGGTACGTACACCGGGGGTGAGGCCCTGCAGAGGGAGATCTCATCAGCTGCTCTGCACTGGCCTCTTCCACACCACACAAGCCCTGAGCCAGCTGGGTGGGCTCGTGGCCACACCTCCCTGCTGTGTGCAGGTCCCCTCCTTGGCATGACTCCTCTGGGGGCCCTTCCCGAGCCCCTCGGGCCAACTGGGTGACCAGGAGAGGCTGTGGTGAGACATCTCCTGCATCGACGGTCTGAGGCCAAAAGCAAGGGAGGTTGGGAGTCGCCTGGGGCTGTGGAGCCGGGAACCCTGCCAGGTAGAGAAGCAGCTCCCAGCTATCCTGGAGTCACTGCCCAGGGAGGCTCCGGGTTATGGGGGCGGGACTAGGCCAGGGCGTCGTGCCTCCAGGCATCATGCTGTCTGCTGTGGTCGTGTGGTTTGTCTGCCCACAGCACCCACCTGCCTGTCCTTTCATGTTTCTGCCACACCTGATTTGGGTTTTGTGTTCAAGGAGCCCGTTGCAAACGCAGTGCCCGGCTCGGAGGACAGACCAGGCCATCCCTCCCAGCCCTACATGGCTTCAGGCCCACTGCACTTTCCTGCTCTCCCCAGGCCTGACATAGCCTGGCGGGGGCATCTCTTCACTGGTCTCTGATGTGGGGACAGGTACCACTGCAGGAGACAGGAACAAATGGCTGATGCCCCCAGATGGCAAAGGTTCATCCTCTGGGACTTCACACCCTTCAGGAAGCAGTCTGTGTGTGGGCCACGCCTCCCCAAATGCCAGCAGCACAGGCTTCCACAGCACCAACAGTGCCACATCCAGGGCCAGCGTGGGAGTCACGTGCGGGTCAGAAACCTTGAGAAAGGAGAGGCACACGGTGTAGCCGTCAGCGGTGCCCCTGAGCTTGGTCCCAAATGCAGGGGCGAAGCAATAGGTGGTGTCTGCACCTATGGTCAAGCACACAGGTGACCACTTTGCCTCCAGGACTACAGCCAGGCACCCAGGAGCAACAGGGTGCTGGTGTCGGCCCTCGGGGTGGGCCGTGTGCTGGGGGCCTGGCCTTCTGCCCCTCATATGCCCACTGAACAGTGCATGTGTGAGCGGCAGCCAGCTCCTGGCATGCTCTGCACTGTGTGGCCGTGGCCGGGGCTGGCAGAGCCACTCGGGCACAGCGTGCACCAGGGGTGGATGGCCTCTCGGGCTCCAGCACCTTCCATGGGTCAAGCTTCCTCTGGGGGCTTCTGGATCCACCATAAGCAGGAGAGTCCCAGCGACGCCCAGGTCAGGCACAGTCTCCTTGGCCCCTGGGACCGCATCCCCGTGCCTGCTGCTGTCCCCTGCTCCTCCGCCGCCTGAGGCGAGGGCCAGCTTCGTCACAGCACAAAGGCCATCCACACTTGTTCCTGTCTCATTCTTCATCCTCTCGTCCCAGCGAGCAGGTGACCATGCCTCGCCCACAGAAGCCTGCAGCCCCCTCACGTGCTCAGCACACAGTTGGCATTGACTATTTTAACCCAAGGAAACATTCTGTGCACAAAGTTGGAAAAGAATGACAAGTGCAGACTTTGTGCCACTGGGCAGTTTGGGCGTCCGTTCATCTGCGGCATGTGGGCAGTTTGGGCGTCCGTTAATCTGCCGCATGTGGGCAGTTTGGGCGTCCGTTCATCTGCGGCATGTGGGCAGTTTGGGCGTCCGTTAATCTGCCGCACGTGTGGAAAAGACCATGTGGGCTTCGGCCCAAGCTTGGCCGGTTCTCGTGTTGTGGGGGGACTTGCCCTGACTCTGAGCATCTGAGGGCGAGAGATTTCCTGATAAGGAGAGATGATAAATTCTGGGTGCAGTGAAACTCCAGGAAAGCCTTTGTGGTAAACCCTAAAATATTTAAATATAAGAAAGATTGCTAGATAATTCTAGAAAGTACTGTTAAAAATATTCCTGATTCTAAGAGGGGTGGAGAGTTTTGAAGGAGGCCCAAATGACTTCTCATGCTTAACGGTTTAGGCCTCAGGAACGGGCAGCCTGTGACATTCTACAAGGCAGACGCGTGTCTCTGTGAAGTTACATCTCAGGCTTTAGTTCCGTTCCATTCCGTAAACACATCCTAAGCACCTACTCTGTACAGGCACTGGTCTTGACGTCCAAAATTAAAATTCTGAGAACATCACATTCAGCACTCTGTCCGTAGGATTTAATCCAGTGATCTTCACTGCACTTTCATTAAAAAAAAATTCAACCTTCAGGCAAGACAACAGTGACTGCAAGATGTGCGTTAGAGGTGTGTGTTATAAAACGTTCCCAGGGTTGTGTGGGGACCGTGGTTTGTAGGGTAACCTTTGGTTATGAACAACGAGCCTCTTGGTGGTGCACGTTCATTCTGAGCTGGGCATTCTCACCACAGCTGCAGGCAGCGGCTGTTCTGCAGACGGAGGTGAGCCCAGAGGCTGACCCACCCGACTCCCTCCGCCCTGACCAGAGGTTGGCCAAGCTGTTGGGAGCAGGGCATTCCCGGGGGCTGGCCTGGACACATTCTGCTGCCCGTGTCCAAAGAAACCCCCTGAGAGGCCACAGCCTCAGGGCCACCACTGCTCAGAGAATGGAAGATGCTTTGCAGCTGGCCCACCATGACCAAAACGGCTGATGCCAAGAGCAGGGAGGTGGTTGTTACTTCCAACAACAGGTTTCCCTGGGGCTGGAGAGTTTACCCTCCCTGGTTCAGCAACATGACTGACCACCTACTGCTGTGCCCGCTGTGAGACTCAGCAAGACCACCAACTCTCGCTTCAGTTGTCTGGTTAGTGGGTGACCTACCTGCCTGTAACATTTTTCATTGTTAGAATTTCTACTTGCTGCTTTTCTAAATCCACCTGTTCTTATTTCATAATGTCCTATTCTTATTTCATAATGTCCTGTTCTTCTCTAACAGATCCCATTCCATTGTCTCTGAACATTTTAAACTTGTTACTTCAAGCACCTGGCACTGCTCCTGCAGGTCTCTGTGTGAGTTTAGCTCCTTGCTGGGCCTGCTGGGCCCTCATGGCTTTAATTTCTTCCTGTGATTTGCCCTTTTTGCCCATGATCTCATTTCTGGGACAGGCTGACCCTGAACACATGCGAACACGGGGGGCAAAGACACCGGCCCCAGGCATGGGGGGCTCAGGGTGGGGAACATACTCAGGTAGATGTGGAAGATGAGCAGCTCTGACCACCCAGGCTTGGGGGAATCGGGGGGCTCAGGGTGGGGGACATACTCAGGTAGATGTGGAAGATGAGCAGCTGGCCCAGCTGCACCAAGCCAAGCAGGTCCAGCAGGAGCACGGCCATCCCAATGATCACGACTATCAGGGTCTGCACCTGCACCGGGAACAGGGGAAGGAACAGCAGCCACGTGTTCGTATTCTTGACATCTGTCGAGACAAGGGAGAGACACTGTGTCCAGCACCTGTTGACGGGCGCCACATCAGGTGGACGTCGCAGACCAGAGCTTGCTGGGGATGGGGCAGCGTGGGGACAGCCGGCGCGAGGGAAGCCTCCCTGCCCAAGTGGACGCCTCCCGTACCTGAAGGCCCCGCGGGTCCTGCTGCCTGCGGTTGGTTTTTATGATCCCTGCTTTATGGATCTGGGAGGTGAGGCTCCGACAGGGTCACTAAGTGCCAGGGCCCCAGCACTCACCCCTTCCTCACTAAGTGCAGGGGTCACAGCGCCTGCCAGCTCTGCCGGGCCCCAGCACCCATCCCTTCCTCATGGCCCACGCTACGTCCCTGGGTCCTCTGCACCCTAAAACAGCCGCCTTCGAATAGAACAGGAAAGCCACAGTTCTCGCCTGGGGTCATTTCTAAGATACGGTCCTCTGAGACACTGGGCTGCCAACACTCAAAACCACACCACTTCCAAAAATCAGGCGTAATGCAGAACGGCAGAGGGTCAGACAAGATAGAATGGGAGAGGGTCGGGTAAGGCAGAATGGCAGAAGGTTGGGTTCAGCGTGGATGTCTTTGGGTGACTCAGCTTGAATGTCTTTGGGTGACGGACCCTCTCTGGAACTGGTGGCCTCGGGGGCCATCCTAGGAAGGAAAACACCACAGTCGGCCAGACGGGACTGCAGTTCAATGTGTCTGGGCCAGGCTGGACCCCACACGGCCCCCTTAGCCATGACATCACGATGAGTCCAGCCCATGGTAACAAGGAGCTGCTTTGCTCAGGGCCCTGCTGGTTTTAAAGTCCTGCAGAATCATCTGGAACAGCAAACCCAGGAAATCATCAGTCCACAGTCAATGAACTCACACCGAGCCACTGGCACTACCGTGTGGAAGCAGCATGTTCCAGGAGAAAAGCCAGCACACGCCGTCTCGGCCACCTCTTGCCTCTCACTCTCTCCTGGCATCCCCCATGGTGACGGCCCAGACAACGTGGAGGCTGCTGGGGAAGGTGACTTGCTACGGGGGGAAGAAGAACACAACAGGCATCGTCCTGGGCTTGGGCCCGCTGAGGTCAGCGCCTTGCCAGGGTGGAGCTGGCTTTCAGGAAGTGCTTCCGAAGCAGCTGTGAGGCCCGGGTGGCACCAGTCACGCTTCCAAGTGGAAGGAGGAGCTTTAGGGCCTTCCACACGGAGCTGGCAAAGCTCATCCTTGAAAAAAAAGTCACACCGTGTTGGCTCTGGAATGTTCTGGAACAAGGGGCAGGCAAGTCCTGCCTCTCTTGCCACCTGGGCCGTGTGCAGTGCGGGCGCAGCCACGCCTGGGGCCGAGACTGGCAGTCTTGACCCACATCCCAAGGGGCTGCTCTGGCCCAGGTCCTCCTGGTGAGGGTCCCGGCGCTGCTGCGATAAATACAACAAGTGGCGGCGGGTGCGGGCAGCTCCCACGGCAGACTCTTGCGGTCCAAGGCAGGGCTCTGGCGTCCAGCTGGAGGACAGGCGGGCACACGGCCTCCACATCCCACGGCAGACTCCTGCGCTCCGAGGCAGGGCTCTGACATCCAGCTAATACAGGACAAGAGGGCACACGGCCTCCGCATTCCATGGCAGACTCCTGCGCTCCAAGGCAGGGCTCTGGCGTCCAGCTGGAGGACAGGCGGGCACGCCGCCTCTGCATTCCACAGCAGACTCTTGCAGTCGGAGGCAGGGCTCTGGCGTCCAGCTTCAGGACAGGCGGACACACTGCCTCCACAGGGTCCAGGGAGGTCCTCCCACCTCTGCCAGCTCCTGGGGCTCCGGGCGACCCTGGGCTGTAGCCGTGTGACTCCAACCTTGCCTCCATCCTCACGGGGCTGCCTCCCCTCTACGTCTCTCCTTTCTCTTATAAGCACCCTCATGGCTGGATTTGGGCCTCCTGGGACCACCCAGCATGAGACTCCCACCTCAGATCTTAAGTCACAGTGGCAGACCCATTTCCTGAGGACACTGGCATCACGGGGTCCGGGTTTGGCGTGGACTTGCCGCTGGAGCCCACAGTCCTCACCGCCACGTCTCTCCTATGGCTCAGTGCGGGCATCCCAGGCTCTGGGCCCACTTGGCCAAGAGCCTCAGCACTCTGCAGACTACAGCCCAGCACCCTCAGCGCTGCCTCTGCTCTCTCTCCCTGTGGGCTGCTCCTGCTGGACAGACACCCCCACTGTCCCACAGCCACGTGGCCCCACAGGACGGCGTGACAGGTGCTGCAGGGCTGACTGTGGAGGGTGGGGGCAGAGCCGGAGCCCACTGTCTCTCACCTGTCGCAACCTGCAGCATTCACAGAGCAGTGCGGCCAGTGCCTTCCCCAAGCCTGCCTCCTGCACGCTGGGGGCTGCTGGGCTGTGTGGGCCCTGGGCTACTGCCTTCGGCCCAGGTCAGAGCCTGCCTGGTGCTGCCTACCCTGGCCTCTCCCTGGGGCAAGATGGGCCGACCACCTCCAGATCTGATACTACTGCCCGGAAAGATGGCTGGAGGTGAGGCTGAGGTCCCCCAAGAGTGGCGGCCACGTACCTTCATAGTTGGGGTCCGTGCGGAGCACCCCGGGGTCCACAAAGTACTGGACAAGGATGTACAGCAGGATGGTGATCAGGCAAAGCATGCCGGCTGTGGCTGAGGCCACGGTGCTGAAGAAAAACCTGCCAGGAGACACACATGCAGGCATGAGGGGTGGGGACATGAGAGCAGTGGGGCATGGGGGCAGGTGTGGGGGGCATG